GTGATTCTTGTCTTTGGCTCTGTTAATATGGTGTGTTACATTTATTGATTTGCATATGTTGAACCAGCCCTAAATTCCTGAGATGACTCCCACTTGGTTATGGTGTATAATTTTCTTGATAATTTGCTGCATTCTGTTTGCTAGTATCTTATTGAGGATATCTGCATCCATGTTCATTAGAGAGATTGGCGTGTAGTTCTGTTTTTTGGTTGGGTCTTTCTCTGGTTTTGGTTGCAGGGTAATACTTGTCTCCAGGAATGAGTTAGGAAGTATTGCTTCACTTTCAATTTCGTTGAAGAGTTTGAAGAGTATTAGCATTAAATCTTCTCTAAATTTCCTGTGGAATTCAGCAGTGCGACCATCAGGACCGGGGCTTTTCTTTGTTGTTAAATTTTTAATACATTTTTAATCTCATTAACTGATATTGGGTTATTTACAATTTTTATAACTTCTTGATTCAGCTTTGGTAATTCATATGTATCTAGGAACCTGTCCATTTCTTCTCTGTTTTTCATCCTATGAGACTACAGATTTCTGAAGTAGGTATTGATGCTCGTCTGAATTTTCACAGGATCTATAGTGATTTCATCCTTTCCTCACTGCACGAATTTGAGTCTTTTCTTTCCTTTTTTTGATAAGCTTGACTAGGGGCTTATAAATTTTATTTATTCTTTCAAAGAACCAACTCTGATTCAGTAATTCTTTGTGTTGTTTTTTAAGTCTCCCTTGCATTAATTTCTGCTCTGATCTTTATAGTTTCCTCCCTTGTATGGGCTTTGGGCTTGTCTTGCTCTTCTTTTTTTAGAAGCTTGAGGTGCAACGTAAGGTTGTTTATTTGTTCTTGCTCTATGTTCCTGATATGAGAATGCACAGCTATAAATTTCCCTCTTAGGGCTGCTTCATTGAGTCCCACAGGTTCTGATATGTTGTGTCTACATTCTCACTTAGTTGTAGATACTGTTTAAGTTCTTCATTAATTTCATCTGTGACCCATTGGTTGTTTAGGAGGGTGTTATTTAAATTCCATGTGTTTATGGAGTTTTTAAAGTTTCTTTTGCCATTAATTTCCAATTTCATTGCACTACGGTCAGATCATATTCATGGATAACTTCAGTTCCTTTTCCTTCCACTTCCTTTTCCTTCCACTTCCTTCTTATTCAAGCATGTTCTTGGCTGGTATCTATGGTCTCGTTTACAGAACACGGGAGCCATTATTTACCAATATCTTAGTTTCAACTTTTGGTCCTTATTTAACATGGTTGTACAGTGAAGCCTGTAGGTAAATGACTTGCAATTATCCTTGTCAGCTTTTCCAGGCTATCAAAAATGATAGTTATCAATCAATAAAACCTGTTTTGCTATATCTCCTTTCACTTAGAGTGAGACCTTTGATCCCTGGACAGGCAGAGTGAGCACATCTCCCCAGCTTAAAACAACCACGAGAAGATAGACTTGTAAGCCCTGTACAACCCTGAAGAGTAAGGGATCAAACTGGGAAAAAGAAGCTATGAGGTAGAATAGGAGAAATAAAGATAAAGAAGGGAGACAAGGAAAATTATAATATTGTTGTTTTGTTTTTGTGAGATATGGTCTTTCTATGTAGACCAGGCTGGCCTGAAACTTGCAGCAATCTTCCTTCGTCAACCGCTTCATCCCTTCTTGTGATTACAGAGAGGCCACCATGCCTGACAATTTAAAAAATTATACTTTAAGAAGACTGCAACTTCAGAACACAAAGTTATCTTCTCTGTACACTTTAGGCTTGTTCACGCTGTTTTTCTTCCAGGCCCATTAAACCCTTAATCCCTTAAGGAAACAATAAGCCCATAAATTAGTTTAGATATAAAGTAAAGGGCAGAAACCTGACCTTAAGAAAGTCAAACAGGGTCAAAGATTCTAAGGAATGTTTTTAGGCATAATATGCTAGACCACCCATTTTAAAAACAAACAAACAGAAAAAAATACAATGGACTGGGCCCTACCTCTCCCTTATAAAGCAGGCTTAACTATCTTATTCCCCTTTAAAACTGAAGACACCAAGATAACAGTAAGTAAAGTAACTTTCAAACTTTTCAAGGACATTGAGTTACCAGATCTTACAGTGTCCTGTTCCAGAACCCCTCGGATCAATTTCTACCAGTTTCCAGCCATTATCCTAACCCTATATTTATCTGGGTTCCAGAAAAAGCAGAGCCTCTCAGACCATCTCGTAGTGAGATCACTTTTCTTAGAAAGAACAATCATGTCATGAAAACCAAATTTTGTCCCTTAAGCCATAAGGATTCCTCTGGAGCTATGAAGCCAGGCCTGACCTCAGCCTACCACCACATCCCGAAAAATGATGTCCATCTTTTTGTGAGCAGGCCAGTCTGATTTACCTCTTCAGATCTATGCCTTCTTCAGTTCTTTAAACTATCTTGTTGCTCTTGTTTATCAGGGGCCGGGGTTCATCTTTGTCAGAGCTATGCCCCATATCCACTCATTTTTTTCTCTTATTTTTCAGTTAAAGCTTTTTTCCAGTAACTTTATGCTGAATGCCTCAGTTTTAATTTCCATTATTACTGAAGCAAGGACCCACACTAGCTAGTGCCAATTTACAACCCTTGTGTTCTACACAACCAGCTTCTCAATCCTTTTGACTGCTACCCATGACATGCTTACAAGGCACAGTTGGGGTATGCAGAAACTGGCCAACTGTGATTTTTTAGGTATATGTCCTGTTTTGCAAGATGTTGCATCATAAAATTTTAAAAATCAAAATATACAATCAAGTCCAAGTGAGTTCATTTCATGGTTTTGCTCTTCCCTTTTTATGGGGGTGTTGGTATAGAAAAAAGATCTTTTATTTCCCTTCTATCACAATGGTATAATTCCCAATCTTACAGGCCATTGTACAATGCTATTAGTTATTCTCCATGAAGTGTATCCCACTAAGAGACAAAATAAATAATTTTTAAACCTTCATTCTTCAGTCCTGAGAGTTTTTACAAATAACAGGACACGTGTTGAAATAAATTACATACTTTAAAATCTGTCAGTAACAACCATTTTGTATAAAAAAGTACTCAGAAACTGTTACAGTGGCAATTCTTTAGTTGATAGTAGAAATAATGTGTGAATGCCTATGCTAATTTGAGGCAATTTTCAAGTTTCATGACTATATAAAATAGTTAAGAAGGATTCAATAGGTACTGTTTGCAGGAGGGAGTTGTTGGTGGCATTTCTTGTTATTTATTATATCTTAATAGATTACTATGATTGAAATGCATGAAATGCTGAACATGCTGAATATTTTATATGCTATATGTTATGATAATAAATTTCATAAATCATAGTATTGATTGAGTTTGGGTTTTAAAAGTAAGGCTTGCTATTCAAGTGAGTATCATTCATTATTGCC